AGCAAGACAGAGTACATGTGTGTAAACGAAAGGGAGAACAGTGAAATGGTGAGGTTACAAGGAGCAGAGGTGGTGAAGGTGCAGGAGTTTAGGTACTTAGGATCAACTGTTCAGAGCAGCCATGGTGTATGGTTTAGAGACACTAGCAATAGGCAGAAGACAGGAGGCGGAGCTGGAGGTGGCAGAGTTAAAGATGCTAAGATTCTCTTTAGGAGTGACAAGGATGGACAGGATCAGGAATGAGTTCATAAGAGGGACAACACAGACATGACGGTTTGCAGAAAAAACTAGAGATGCCAGATTAAGATGGTTTGGACATGTGCGGAGGAGGGACAGTGGATATATTGGTAGAAGAATGCTAGAGATGGAGCTACCAGGTAGGAGAAAAAGAGGAAGGCCAAAGAGGAGATATATGGATGCAGTGAGGGAGGACATGCAGATAGTTGGAGTCAGAGTAGAAGATGCATAGAAGTCAAAAGGAAAAAAATAAGTTGGAAGTTAATTTCAAATTAGTAACCCAGTTAGTGAAGTGGTGCCCTCAGTCAGGTGCGTATGTTAATGAGATGCGCTACTTCTATTCGAATGCATCAGTCTGCAAAGTCAAATGTAGTATTTGTTCTAGTGAAGAAAAGATTTGGTCTCATGTTAAACAGGTTACCTGAACCTCACACCTAACTTATAGGCCAGGGTATTCAAAATGCGTTCCTAGCACACACTGCAAGAAATAGATCCATAGATCTGTTTTTATAGATCTGTCTTTATAAGGAGTAAGCTAGAAAATTGTTGTTTTAAATATCAATGTCTGTTAACCATGTAGGACACTACTGAAAACTCCTAACTACCAGAATCAACCTCATGTGCTCATTAAAATAGGAAACGTAGTATTGAACACCATGCCTTTGGTAATAAATAATTTGGCTTATGCACAAAATAAAAGTAAATGTAACCCACCGGGTCCAGACATTCAGAAAACAAACTGAGCAAAAAGAGTGTTGTGCAATGAAAATGAAAAACATGCAGTGAGAACAGTCTTTAGCCCAGTCTAAAATAAATTTTACACAGTAGTCACGTTTCAACAACTCTCCCACGTCATGTGTCAGCATTGTGCTACATACAGGCTTCATTATCCAGGCTTCCTGACTGTCTGGGGTAGGAGCAGTCTTTGTAGCCCAAGACTGGGGAATGTGGGTGAGAATGGATCATTTCTGCGTAAGCTTGGTGCAGGCTCTTGCATGTGGTTGGATGACCAATAGAGAGCTCTGTGGGGACAGAGGCGACGTGTGACAAGGCGAGAGAGGGTTGTGAGGTTGCAGATCCTTGTAGCTGACGGGCGTAGAGGGGCTTTTTTCTGGCCTATTGTCAGTGCAGCTCTTCATTCTGGATTTCAGTTTGTGCTTAGAGACTGGGATTGCCCTGTTTGCTTTCTTCTGGTTTTTCTTAGTCTGCAACATTTCTCCATCTGTGTCTCCATTGGCCAGAGGTGATGTTGGAGGAGGAGACTCTGAGTGGGATTCACTCAAGCTAAAGCACATGGATGAGTTTTCACTGGAGGAATCTTGAAGCGAGCAGTCTTCAGAAATGGGAAGGGGACAGACACGTCTCTGGAGGTGGAAGGTCATCACTCCCTCCGCCATTTCCCTGGTCAAATGAAAGGTTTGACTGGTGATTCTCCAGTGAAACATCTCCTTCAGGCCCACTGTTCCATCCAGGTTGAACCTGTTGGCCTGACAGCCCACCTGCTGAAGGATCCTCTTTATGGTGTCCATTCATAGTCCTACAGTGAAACAAAGATTGAGCAGAGAACAGATTATTTACCAAGAGTGACTCAGTATCTCCAATGCCCAGCAGGGAAGTTTTCACAGGTTTTCCTTGATGACCGTGGGTTGGTCCTTCAATATTGTGTACATACAGTAAATTGAGTGGGTCATCGAGTTGGAGGTGACGATGATGAGTTCTCTTGGACTCCCTTAGTTCAGGCAGAGTTCCCATCTTTACTCCCACAGTTTGGGAGGAAGAAGAGGAGTTAGAGGAAGAGTAAGCCGAGTCTGTGATATTGGGAGCTTGTGTACTCTCTCTCTGCACAGTCACTCCTCCACCCCCCCCCCTTATTAGATACTACTTTTGCTTGCTTTGTATTAGCTAAAAATTCAGCCTCAAAGCTTCGGTACAAGTCCTGCTCTCTCTGGGCGTCCAGCATTGGAAACAATTGAAAACCAAAGCCTAGTCCTTCCTCTTCTGGTTCTACATGCTCAGGGTTGTTAGGCCAGTTGGAATGGTTGCCTCGTCCAACGGAACGAGAGCCCTGTGATATCCGAGGGGATTGAGCGACCTGACGACGAGGGGTGCATGGAGATGAGTGCGGTGACCACCAACCTCCTGACGTTACTGGTGGTGGTTTGCTTCTTCCTATGGAGGGGGAACAAGTGGCTGAGGGTCTGGGAGTTATGGTTTTTTTGGTGGGGATGCTGTTGTTGCACTGGACACCTTTAGGTGGGGAGTTAGAGCATGAGGACGACTTTCTTTTTGAGAACCCACCACCTACTCTGGGAGAAGATGGCGTCACTTGTTTGGCCCGTAGTTCCTCTTGTTTGTCTGATTGTGGGGGCTGGAGTTCTTTGTACCATGATAAGGACCCAGGACTGGCATGACTGGAGCGAGTGCGACTCTGTAACCTACTTTGACTGTGGGAGCGTGGAACATGGAGCTTTCTGGGGCCCTCATTCCCCAGAGAGCGCCCCCTCTCTCCACGAGTTGTCCTCATACCATCAGAGGATCCTGATGGTGGGTTTGGTTTTACTGTGGGAGTTAATGCAGAACGTTCACGAGAATGGCTGCGAGCACGGAGCTGTGAGGGGCGTAGGGATTGGGTTGGATTTCCTACTCCGCCTCTTTCAATTGCATGCTTCCCATCTTTGCGGTTGACGAGCAGGATCACCTCTTCACCAGAGCGGCGCGAGGCACCACCAAGGGAGTATCGTCCTCCTCCCCCCTTTGATGAAGCTGTGGAGGAGTCATTGTCTCCAGACAGGCGTCTCGTTAATGGCAACTTTGTCTCCTTAGCCCTAGGATTGTGAGAAGAGACAGAATAAATTATGTTAAATCAATGTAATGTGCTTTACATTATTAATCCAGACTTTGTCCGACCCATCTGGAAACAAATGCAGGAGATTCAACTTCAACAATTTCATCATGAATGTCACATACTGTAGTGACTTCACATGAATTGCATGATATAAAGGATTTGTGTGTACGGAATGTTTCAGCCTCTCGCAGACAAACCAAGGATGTGTGTTTGGTTGGAGACAGCGACAGCCAGGCAGATTAAAGAATATAAGATTGACGGGAGGAAGGATTAGAGGTCATGTAGAATTTCTAACCCAATACAAATCACTGCTCTGACTCAATCAGACAACACTCCACTGTCATGCATCAATGGGATCCTCAGCTTTAACTGTGTAATTGGATTACCTACATCAAGGCAGGACAGACTTAAACTGTCTCCCTCAGAAGGCAAAAGGCAGTACCCGTGTTAAATTTAATATTCTATTCTATTCTACGTATATTTTAGTTAATTATTAAGTGTATCTTCTTCTTCTTTTCCTTTTGGCTTGTCCCTTTTTCAGAGGTTGCCACAGCGAATCATTGTTTTCCATCTCTCCCTGTTCTCTGCATCTTCTACTCCAACTATCTGCATGTCCTCCCTTACTGCATCCTCTCCTCTTTGGCATTCTTCTTTTTCCACTACCGGGTAGCTCCATCTCTAACATTCTTCTACCAATGTATCCACTGTCCCTCCTCCGAATGTCCAAACCATCTCAATCTGGCTTCTCTGGCTTTTCTCCAAACCTTCCTGTCTGTGTTGTCCCTCTAATGACCTCATTCCTGATCCTGTCCATCCTTGTCACTCCTAAAGAGAATCTTAGCATCTTTAACTCTGCTACCTCCAGCTCTGCACTCTATTCTTCACCTCTCTTCCACAGTCTCCGCTGCTCTGAACAGCTGATTCTAAGTACTTAAACTCCTGCACCTTCACCACCTCTCTCCCTTTCGTTTACACACATGTACTCTGTCTTGCTACGACTGACCTTCATTCCTCTTCTCTCTAGTGCAAACCTCCACCTCTTTAGGTTCTCTTCTAGCTGCTGCCTACTCTCACTACAGATCACAATGTCATCCGCAAACAACATAGTCCATATGGACTCCTGTCTGACCTCATCTGTCAATCTGTCCATCACCACAGCAAACAAGAAGAAGACTTCAACTACTCTTTACCAAATCTTCATCGTATGGCTCATCAACTTTATTCCTCTGTAGTTGTTACAACTCTGCGCATCACCCTTCTTATAAATTGGCACCAGAACACTTTTCCTCCACTCATCAGGCATCTTGTCAGTCTCTAGAATTCCCAGTCAGAAAATCTACCGCCACTACCCCTAAGCACTCCGACACTTCCACTGTTGTGTCATTGGGACCAACTGACTTTCCACTCTTCATCCTCTTCAGGGCTTTTCTTACTACATCCTTTCTAATCTACCTTCTTCCTAATAGTTTCTGGCTCCTCATTCCTACGTTCCCTTTCATTTTCCTCATCCAACAACTCCTCAAAGTACTTTTTCCATCTTCTCAGCACACTTTCCTCACTTGTGATTACATTCCCATCTCTGTCCTTAATCAACCTCACCTGCTGCACATCCTTCCCTGCTTGATTTCTCTGTCTTGCCAATCTATACAACTCATTTTCTCCTTCCTTTGTGTCCAAACTCTCGTACAACTCCTCATATGCCTTTTGTTTGGCCTTGGTCACTTCCCTCTTCACCACTCTTGTCCTTTCTTTGTACTCCATTCTGTTCTCTCACTGTCCCATCTCTTCTTTGCTAATCTCTTTCTCTGCACACTCTCCTGGACCTCATCATTCCACCACTAGGTCTTAGTTTTCCTTTCTCTGCCCAGAGGACATACCGAGCACCTTCCTACCTGTCTCCCTAATCATTGTAGCTGTAGTCTCTCAAGCATCTGGGAATGTCTTCCACAACTTGATCTTCTGCTCTGTCTTCACTCTCTTCCTTTTGTTCACCTCTTCATTTTGCACACTACCATCTGATGTTGGTTGGCTCCCCTCTCGGCTGCCGCCACTTTACAGTCTCTAATCTACCTCAGATTACCTCTTCTACATAGAATATAATCTATCTGTGTGGCCCTGCCTCCACTCTTGTAAGTCACCCTGTGTTCCTCTTTCTTTTGAAAATAGGTGTTTACCACAGCCAGTTCCATTCTCTTTGCGAAATCTACCACTGCTTGTCCTTCCAAGTTTCTCTCCCTAACACCAAACCTGCCCATCACTTCCTCATCTTCTATGTTCCCTTCCCCTACATGACCATTAAAGTCTGCTCCAATCACCACTCTATCTCCCCTGGGATGCTCTCTATCACCCAATCCAGCTCATTCCAGAACTTCCCCTTTTCTTCCAACTCACAGCCCACCTGTGGGGCATAACCACTGACAACATTTATCATCACTCCTTCTATTTCTACCTTCACACATCAACCTGTCTGACTCTCGTTTCACCTCCACCACATTTCTTTCATAGTCTTCCTTTAGGATCACCCTACTCCATTTCTCTTCCCATCCGAACCATGATAAAATAGTTTGTAGCCTCCTCCAATGTTTCTAGCCTTGCAGCCCTTCCACCTGGTCTCCTGCACGCACAAGAGTTCAAAACTTCAGACCAACACTTCTATCCTTTCTCTTCTCTCTTTTTCTCCGAACCAATTGCCCTCCTCTTCTTCTTTGTCTTCGACCAACAGTAGTCCAATTTCCACCAGTACCCTGTAGGTCAACAGCACTGTTCTCCATTTCTTCTCCATTCTCACCTTCTCCATTTTTTTGGGTTTGGAACCAGCAACGTGTGGCTGGAAGAATAGATGAGATGAGATCAGATAAAATTTTATTTATCGCTGAGATTCACTCAGGAAAATTGAAAAATATGAGAGATAATAATTTGTTGGGTCAGTGATTTACCAAAAATAGCACAGGTCCATGTAGATGTTTTCAGTAACAACCACATAATATTATTTTCTGGCTGACCAGCTTTTACCCAGGTGTTCTACGGAGAAGAAAAGGTGCTTTATGCTTATATGTTTATGCAACATATTATAATGATGATGATCTACAATGGTAATTATAAAAATGCAACTAAATCCTCACCTTCCAGGACACACACTCAATGGCATTTTGCTTTCATTAAACCAGTGTTTTACTGGATCCTTACTCTGATGTTATCCCTGAAAAATGAAATGAGTTTATATTTAGACAGGCAAATTTGTCTGCTTGTTTCCCACCTGTTGACCTACTTCCCCACTCAGCTGTGAACAGTTGTCTACAGACACTTGTGAGTTAAGTCTTTATCTTTTCTGGCGCACTCCTAAGGCACTCCTCACCCACATGGGGTTAAATTAAATGAGCTGTCTGTCTGACGTGAGCTCTGAGCTTCAATAAAGAAAATGAGCCACACGTTTGATGTAAGCCAATATAAACCAGGCTTCCTCACTTAGCGGTCTTAAACAATGGTGTGTTCACATTCTGACATACAGGAAAGCTGTGTGACTGTGTGGACGTTTTTACCAACTTCAGGGAGAATTCACAAACACACAATTGTCCCTTAGAAAGTTATTTATAAAGAACTTAACATGTCACACACTCTTCATTCAAGCACATTTTTTTTCCAGTCACAGGAGACCACTGTGAGTTTTAATCTGTGGCCAAAAAGCAGATTAGGAGAATAAAAGGCTGAATGAAAAGCAGCTCTCGATAGATTCCAGTCTAGAACCAATGTCCAGATTGTGATTAATGAAATGAAAAAGGTGGTGAAAGGTTCAGATAACGTATCAGAATTATCCTATTGAGCCACTAGGGGGTGCTGTAGGATGTCTGAGTTACAGATGGATTTATCAGGAAAATAATTCAATCTGATCTGCTTTAATCTGAGGCTTTCTGGCGTGTATGTGTGTGTGTGTGTGTTTTGGCAAAAAAAGCAAACGGTAAACACTAATAATCCTCGTTAATCTTCACGTGAAAGGTTAATTTCTTTTAAGATAGTAACACACCCATCCACCTGTAATAGAACGCACATTTACCTCAGAGGATTAATGTGACGTGGTTCTGAACGAACTCTCGGTGGCCATGGAAGTACAGTACGGGCAGCAACAGAGTCGGGTTCTGACTGACTGACACTGCTTTGGGATCTTCCAGGCCTTGTGGATGAAGAGGAGCTACACAGAGAAGAGGAAAGCTCTGTGGTGCATCTGTCTGGGGTCTTGTAAGGTGCAATGCCTTCGTTTCTCCAGTGTGGACCTGGGCTGGTGGAGCGAGAAGAGTGGGCACTCGAGGACTTGCTCTGGGTGCCCTGACCTTGGCTGCTGGCCTTGGCCTGGTGGTAACGATGAGCTGTGAAGACAGGTTAAAGCAGTGGTTCTCTATTATTTTCTGTCATGCCCCCTCTATGGGGACAGAAATGTTTTCATGCCCCCCCCCCCCCCCCCCCCCCCCCCCCGCTGCGCCTCCCCCTCTCTCG